ACACAGATGACGTGGTCCTGAGTGGTGAAGACGTTGACAAAATGAAGTCTTATGATCGGCCTAAGCACCAATTCGATACTGACTGGGATGTGATTATCTCACATTCAATGCCATATGTTGCTTCAATGTTTGCGTTTGTCGGTGCCTGAAGTAGCGATAGGGAGTAAAAAGCTGGATTATACTGTGTTTATAGGTGTCATTACCAAGGTTTGCTTTGATAATTCTGAATAAATTGAGCATTGGGTTGATTGTTATAAATAAAAATAATATATTTGTAATATCCCAATGAGTAGAAAATTGGATTTTCTGACGTTTCGTGACTTAGTGTAAGTCACTTCTTCAGAGAGCAAATAACTAAATTAAAATTCATCCAAGTTTAAATAGTACAATGCATTGTTCCGTTCATTGGGATATTACAAATATATTATTTTTATTCATACTGTGTTTACTTACTTTAGAAGTTTCATAAGCCCTGGCGGGGTGGTGTTTGACGTAATATAATATTGAATAAAGCCATTAATAATAAAAATAAAAAAATATACGATATCTACCGGCATACATGTTATAATAAAGACAGGAGTGGCCAAACTAAAACGTTTCATCAAATCAGTTGATCACTGCTAGTTTGTGGTGAGTCACTTCGTTAGATACAGACCAGCCGGTCATCGTTCGAGCAACTGGTTGGTTGGAGACGTTTGCTTCTACTGTCTAAGGTAGGTCTCGATTTGTCTTCTATAATATGTATATTTTTTATTGCTCAAACACATTCTCCCTTGGTCGTGTTTTTCATACCAGACTTTATCTATTACCACTGAAAGTTTTAATCCCTCTACTATTCCGGTATTTGTCTCGATAATTTCTCCTATCAGCTCTAATGATGTTTGACAACATGGACCGATTTACATGTTCTAGGTTCTACGTTACGGATGACTTGACAAAACCGAACATATTGGTTTACTTTATCTGGATAAAAATTGCACAACTGGTTCCGTGAACATATTAAGCATATATTTAAATAAAAGACTAAGCTACTAAGTACTACCAGCGTGACGTAAGGTGATTAAGTGATGCATAAATTTTGCACGGAAAAAAACAGGAGTAACAAAAATTTCTAAGAGAAACCATTCATATTTGCCTCTAAGTAATAAATTCATTCACCACAATTTGTTCAAGCACCTGAATGTTGAATGCATATCAAGCTATAGTATTTGAAATCCTGTAACCAATTTTCGTGTTACTTCAGTTATTTATTGATGTTTAAATGAGTGCATTAAATACACCTTATGGTTCTAAACAAATTGATAAATCATAAGAATTCGAACATTCATTACTGTTTTCCACTCTTTCCAAAAGAATCTATTCAGTCCGATCTATGCTGAGTTCAAATCTAAATTACGGAGCTTAAGGTGGGCAAATCTGGTTAGTGGACTGTGAGTTAATATAATCTCATAACATTGTTGGGTACTATGGTAGTTTTTAACCGCATGTGCACTTTTGATTCATCTGCAGTGCCTACCTTTACGTGGGTTTACAGAACTTCAGCTTGACGACCTTCAGTTCGTTGCAATTGCAACAGTTAACTTTTGATGTTTTTAAAAATAGCTTTTGTGTCATATTCTCTGTAATCCGTTATCTGAGTTCCCACTTCTAAGCATTATAATAGTCCTCAATTTCGTGTAAACTGAGACTTATATATCTGCTTACATTTATGAACTTTTGCACAGTTTGTGGTGGTTTGACACAGAGAGTTAGAGTTTTATGATAGTTGAAAGCATACAAGTCACTGCAGTAGCTAGAAATTCTCGAAACAGTGCAATTTAAGACGAGTATAACTAGATGAGCACAAACAAACGTGTTGTATTTAGAATTCGAAATCAACCAGTAATCAAGTATATAATAATCGTTACTTCATACAAACACCACAACCGCCATAGTTTAAATTGGAATCCGAATTTCCGTATTTGATCATCGTATGTATATCAGACTATGCTTTGGATAGAGACTCCATATGGTCTTTAATATGCTCATTAATATTAGAGTTTCAATATTTGAAATCATGAGTCAATTGAAGCTAGACCACCATGGAAAACCTGGAAGCACTGGACGGCCGTTTCTTTCTAGTATGGAACTCCTCAGCAGTGCGCATCCATGATCCCGCCGAAATCGGAATAGACTCACCCTGTTCCTTGGAATGCATTTGGTTGTTGCGAAAAACCCGCTTATGAACCGCAGATTTATTGAGCTGTTTTAACAGATCTTCCATAGATTATGGAAAATAAGTTCATTTGCAAAGATTCTGAGTGAAAAAGTCTTATATTACGTACAGCGAATCGCTCAAAAGTAAACAAACTAACTGGATGTATCCAATTTTACCACATTTAAAGCATTGGGCATTACAAAATACACATGAATTAGGTGAGTGAAATTTACCACAGGACAAACGCTTACTGAATTTGTGCTCACTCTTATGACCTGCTTTGCGATTCCTCGATGAAATGTTATCTGCTTGACCTCGGGTACTCATTGGATTGGGATAATTAAGTAATGTAGTAAAGTTCTTGATGCTGTAAAAGTCAATTTCATGCACTGTCTCATAATTATTACACTCAATTCCAGCATCTTGAAAAGAACACTTTGACGTTCGCATAGGCTTTCTTTCCAGATTAAGTATGTTAATCCCTGCAATCAATCAATCAATCACGCAGCTGTACATGAAGTTGGTCACTGAAATTGCCTTCGGTAGCTTGTGTTTGCGTTCTGTGGATAAGTTCTCCAACCTTTTAATTATTATGACGATTCATTTTACGAAATTTTGCTCCTTCACGACATTCGATACTAGCACGCTTTACATGATTTAGTAGTAGTTCTTTGAGAGTTTCATAGGAAAGTGACATAGACTTATCTGAAAATGCCAAAGTTTCTAATAAGCTGTAGGCATCCTTCCCGATGAATGTGGTGAAATGAGTCACAATTTCATCATTCTTAATATCCTTCGTGGTCATACTTCAGATTTGAAATCTTTCCATGTAATCTTTGAGAGCTTGAGAGTCTGGATGTATTTCCAACTGTTTCGTCACAAGATTCTGCTCGCGACGCCAATATGATAACTAAAATCTTCAAATCATAGTATTACCTAGGAATTCCCGAAACAGTGCAATTTAAGACAAATGAAACTAGGTGAACACAAACGAACGTATTGTATTTATAATTCTAAATCAACCAGCAATCAAGTTCAAAGCAATCATTGGTTCATACAAGCATAACAGGTGACCAGCGGCTTTTGTTGATCTTAAAGAAACATCCTTAATTTCATTGGCACGAATTTTATGCTCTGTCGACGAGTTATTTCAGCTAACTTACTTTGCGTGCTAAACTAAATATCAGCATATTAATTAACAAAGCCGTTTGTAAACAAGAGTCAGGCGATATTTCGTAGGCAGAAGATGCCAAATTTTAGTGTTCATCTCGCTCACGGTTTCTGTCTGTGTATATCTAATTGTAGGATCAAACGCTAATATGTGATACTGCTCAACCCTCCTTTTGGCCTTCAGCATTGAAGAGGGATTGTTGATTGACCATATTGTACCTTAAGTTTTCAAAAAAGAATGCTCGAACTTCATAGGAATCCCTAAGACAAGCACTTTTGTGCAAGATAGTTTGAAATTATATAATCATCCAGCAAAACAGAGTTAGCATTGATATCAGTAACCATCAGTGCATTGTAACGTTTTAAGTACCAAAGTGATTTACAAAGATAGTTAATATAATCAATTCAACTCAAATATGAAATAAGTTTGGTTTAGATTGTGCAAGTGTCACTGGGACTCATTTTTTATAGTCTGTGCAGTTCGACTGCACTCAATATCTTAGATATAGCTGTTGCAAGACTTATGATCAAAGGACTGATTCTCCTGTTACAATGTTTTGTATTTTTTTTTTAAAAATTCTTCACTGAACAAACGGAGGGCCATATCTGAAAGTATTTTAAAAATATGGCGTTTTATATGAATCATCAGAGTGAAACTGATGTTATTAATGAAGATGTGTGAAGTTTCGTTTTGTTAGTAGCGATTTTAAAATCTTATCATAAATGCAGACATTTTCAAAAAGATGAAAGCGTTCTATGATTAAAAACGCTGGCTTCCAATCTCCCAAACTTAAACAACAAATAGTAATTAGATCCACCTAAACTGGGTTTGGTGTGTTGTCATGGTATTATTATAGTTAATATTTACCACTCAATAGTCCATAACATGAAATTATATTTGACATATTTCCTGTTAATAATAGACAGTCTTTTCGTATTTAGAAGACTGACCGAACGCAAAACAATTAATTATGATTGTCAGAATTTACTATTTATAAAGTCTAATATATTGACGAAAATAAGAATTAATCAACAACGTCGATAGACTGATATCTGATCGTGAAAACATACTCAACCAATCACTGTTCACTTTAAAGAGGTTACTTGATTGATGTAACAGAAACCCAGGGCAAAATGTATGACCGATATTAAGGACTTTATTTTCGTCTTTTTCCTTGGCTTTCATATGTAACAAGTGAAGTTGATTATTCCAGCACGCCTACAGAAAAAGGGTTTTTCAGATATGTTTGTCACTTTTAAATAGTAACTAGATTTAGCTGAGTGTAGCGGAAAGCATTGTAGTAAGGTCATACTTACATTCATATAACCCTACAAACTCATAAAAGTATTTAATAACAGAAGCAATCATACTCTAAAAACTAACAACAGTTTCAGATATTTCAGGCAATTTTCGTTCTAAGTGGTCGGTAATTATGTTTTTATTCGTGCCTTGTCTTCATTGAGCAGTTTGTACACATGTACTCAAACAATTGGTGACTTACTTTAAGAGGTTAAACAACGTTCTGATACGATGGGAGTTGAAGCTTGTAAATTTTTATCGTTTAATACTTGTCGGTCTTATTATTTTTTCATTTACAAAATCTGTTCTTTTAGGCAAGTTCAATCACGATTCATGAATGTCAATGACTTGATTTCAGCCAATGGTGAAAAGGTGCCCAAAATGCTGACGACTGCTTCTATTTCCAGTGATTCAAATTGTGTTTTTCACAATCTTTATAGTGAACCTTCAGAAATAACAGGTTTTGGGAGTCTCACTCCCAAAAATCGAGGTATTTATTTCACTTAATTTTTAAACATAGTAGGTTTCTTAAAAAATCTTAGTTCATATAAATTTAAAAATTGTCCAAAGTGATTTCGAGTAATTTTCCTTAGGTAGTTTAAACCAAAAAAATTAGAAAACCATAGTACATTGGCCTTAAAATCTACCTAGCAATGACAATTTTTGTGTGTTGATAAAAAACTATTCTATTTAGATTACTCTCATCACCTGGATTCCCTCGAACAAGAACATACTACTCAGCTATCAACTGATAAGATTTTAAAATATGTTTACAAATTTCGCAACTATGTAACCTGCCAAAAATATGAACTGCATTCGCTTTCGTTATCTAAATCTCTTGAGATACGTTTCCTGTAGTTATCGGTACAAATAAAAACCAGTCACTGTGAGCCATACAACAGTTCAATATTAGTCTCTTTGTATCATACAATTATGGCGTTAGATGCGACACAAGTTGAGGTTGTCTCAATTTCAAACTGACCAAAAAATGTCGGGTCAGAAGTGTATGTAATGTTTTTCAGACTCAAGTTCTGCTAACCCAATGTGAATTAATGTGACCTTCTGTCTATGGAAGTCACGCAGTCTGATAAAAAAAAACTGTAAAATATACACTTGCAACAGACCGAATTGCTGTAAATGCCCACTTTGGTTGATTAAAATGTTTCTGAGGGTTATTAGTCATAATTAATAGATCTTCGTTTTTATACTGAATTTTACAGTAAGACATCAGTTATTTAATTTGGGTTTTTCAAACAGCTCTATTAATAATGCATGTATATAAAAGTACTTTCACTTCCATACATACAATATCTTAGGTTGGTAAACAAAAAGTTTTGGTCTATGTTAGACAAAATCACGACTAAAGGATAATGGACAAAATCAGAACATCTCAGTGACATTCAGTAAGATGTACCAGATAACATACTTGCTTGAGTTTTAATAAGGGCTGTAATGATGTTAAGGTTTTTTATACATCAGATGTACTTGTTCATTTTGCGTTCTTCCGAACAAATAGTGAAATTAAAAAGTGTTGATAAGCTTTTATTGTATAAGAGAAGCAAAATATTGCACAACAAACACTTTGAGATGATTTTAAATTCATGGACCATAAGTGATTCTCGTTTCTTGACCATGTTGCGTCATTTTGAATGCTATAGTTATATATTTGTCTGGTTTAGCTAACATGTAGGAATCAGTGTAGTTTCTATTGCATAGGGAATTGTCGAAGGAACAAAACTAATATCCAACGAATGATGATGTTTAGGATTATTATTTATTTTATTTATTTATTTTAACACATAAATATTGGTACAAGAGAGCGCCAATATATATGCGCCACATAGGATTAAACTGTGAAGCATTCACACCAAGGCCCGGCCAATAATGAGAAGTATATTTGGTTTACCGGAGAGTGAGTGAGATGAATGAATTGGACTGTTTAAATTTTTTCGGCTAGGTTATGGCTAGTTAAATCATGTCAAACATTTTATGAATCAAATCTGTACTTCACAATTGAAACTGGCTTTATTACAAATTCTTATATCTAAGATGTGGGAAACATCGATGGAAGATTCATTTCTATGGCTGAAGCCTCATCCAAGGAAATTCGTGAACAAATAGATAAAGGAGATGCTGTAAGAAAAGTAAGTAAATGCTTGGCGTTATTATTATTTAAAACGTTTTAGGAACAAAAAGCAAATGGACACTTGGTCATATAGACAATAAATTATATTACACGCAATCCAACCAAAATCTTTCTGGTGTGTTAGTAAGGAAGTGTGCTTGTTTCAGTGCTGAGTCAATGACATTCGATTGTGATGTTTCTTACTGCCTAAATCCACATACTTCTGCATAACACTCTCCCTTGGGTAATTGTGCTATAACTATCATCCACTTTCTTTTGAATGGGAATCCTAGTAACAGTTTAATAGTAACGACGTAAAATAGTAAAGCTTAAAACATATAAATAGATTTATATTTTTTTAGCTGAAGGTGGTTTTTTATTTATTATCATAAAACAGCTCATAAATTGACCGGGACTTCTGGAAGTTTTAAACACATAGTACTGTGATTGTATAGAGACCTCAGTTTTCATGATCCCACAGTGATTTTTGTTTGTTAAAGGCGTGCTACGTGATGATCTGATAGATCGAGTACAAGAATATGCAATTATGATTAACAACCTTTATGAGGGGATATTGAACTTTTAGTGGGTAGTTATCGACAGTCAGTCAAAAGCACATATCAATATATATTACACTGTATTTTTAATAGTATCTAAACCTTATCAACGTTAATATCTTTCTTACATTCTTCAGTGCACGAAATCAAAAGTTACTTGCTCACTAGACTATTGAGAATGAATTACTTTAAAATGTTCAACATCTTACCTGTAAATTGCTCCGGAACTCAGAATAGTCAGAGAATAGTACAATTTATGTGTACAGAAAATGCCTTATTTGTTTCTTTAAACAGGAATGGTAGAATAGTAATGATCTGAATAATAAAATTCTAAATCTGGTACAAGGGAAAATTGCCAGTTTAATTGAGTTGCATCGTCATTTTCATGTTTCAGAAAAAACTTTCCCCATTCGATAGAGATAAGTACAGATAACATGCAACTTTCTTACTGATGCAAATTGTTATACAATATACTTGAAACGATTAAATAGCCAAAAATGATTAAGTGTCTTAAAATAATGGCAGCACATACCTTAGTTTCGTATGACATTTTTGTGGTCAATTTTATTTACTAATCATTTTATAAGCATTTATTTTTTGAGAGATTTTCACCTAAGTATTTAAAATGATCATTCTTTAAATGATTATGAGTTTATTCAGTCCTATGTGAACCAGTGTTATTAGGTCTAGTTTTAGCTTTGCTTAACTTCGTATGTACAGATTGATTATTTTTCTCACTGATGTTGATTTTTGCTACACATGATTTTCGCTACAGTAATGTATCAAGATAATATAAAATATGTACATTCTTGAAGTTTATGATTTATCGGGTACAAAATACAGTTTGTATTAAGTAAACGTTGATTGGAACAAATGTTTAAGTGAATAAACATGTATTTTCAAACATATATTTGTAGATGATTTCCATATAAATTACAAACAGCTGTAATAGTAATAAAAAGTTTTCTTAACTGTAATAATAATGATGACAAGAAGAACAAGAAAAGTAAGTTTATTTTTAGTAGAAGCTGTTAAAATAGAAATGTTAATTTCGGGAGATTTTTCCAACCTTAAATATTAGGGACATTTCAATGAAATATCCAACACGTTTTATTAAAAAAAGGAAATAAATAACACACAACAACTAAAATACAGTAAGAACTTTCAGTTCCCAAGTTTGTTTCTTAAACAAAATCATATTCTTTAAACTTCCAGTAGAAAACGTAAGCTAAGTTAGCTTTCATATATGGATTAACGTTACCCAATACTTCAGTTTTTGTCTCATTTCTTCAGATAAAAACTAGTGTCCTAACATCGGTGGCTAAATATTTCAGCTTCTGCTTAATAAAAAGTTTAGGAGTCTTTTACTGTGAAGTACTATTCAAAATATTCAGCGATCATCTACTATGAAATAACACAATTTTTTTTAGATTTGTGGAAATGCTTAATCTTAATTATTTCTTGATACATATAATCCATCTGGAGTGTAATATGTTAGATGTATAAACTGAACTAACTTTTCAGTTTAATCTCTTACAACCAGGCGACTCTGTAATAGTTCAAGGTTCTATGATTCACTCCAACTGACACAGTACTTAGTGTAGATTGAATAATTAAGCGGTGAATGAGCTATATTTGTTTTACTGTTTGCTTATGGTTTAAAATAACCCATTCTGCGATGGTTTGGAGTTATGATACTTTTAGATGTACTGAATGTTGCCATTTTTCCTCAAAACAAGTTGCTCTTATTTATGAGCACAACTTTATTTTCTCAAATGTTATTATGACATACCCTGTTTCAACTTCAAGAATTTGTCTGTTTTTAACTGGTTATTAGTATAAATATAATATTCATCACGTTTCTATTAATTAAAGAACCAACCAGATACTATAACCTTTAAGTATTATCAGATGTCACATGATTTATACTTTCTAACCTTATTCGACTGGGGATATACTCATTCACTGTCATAAATGGGTAGCTCCTAACCTACGCATTCACAGTGCCGTTTCTATAATTTGTCATACAACTCAAAGCAAAAGCGTTTATTGATATACGTCTATTTCTAAATGTAATGTCGTTCTATGAAAAAAAAAGTTTTCTTGAAGTTTATTGTTTATCAGAGATGTGATAGAATTCCTATTGTCCATTTATGTGGTTTACTAGTGTGTGATTAACATTTTGCCAAAACTTAAAAGACCTATTTATACAGATTTCATGTTATTCAAATGATTCAGCTAATTAGATGAGAACGTTAAACATGATTTTTAAATTTACACAAGAATATAATTTCTCTTTATGTAGTAAGTCTATAAGAATCCATTAATTATTCTTATGAATTAACAACTTACATTATTTCAGTAGTTCTATGCATTATTACACCTTATCTTCAACTACTGACTTCTAAACGTCTGAATAATTATTTTAACTTTATCAAAGTTCAATTCATAATTTCAAATCTATATTTTAGATTGTAATTTACTTTGATTCGTTCATTTTATAATCGTTTCGAAATCTTTTTTGAAAATAACATCGTAAATATTTAACAGATCACAACATAGTGCTCGAAACACTAGAATTCATTAATTTTTTTTGCGAAATTGCAAAAGAATCTTGAGACATAATTGAAGTGTCAAGAATATCATCTGCAATTTGATTTATTTAGTCTTTTCTTATGAAATGATTTTGAAAAATTAACAGCATAATCTGTTAAGAAACTTCTACAACAGTTTCATAAGCATCTAGTATATGTCTACATTTTGCTATCTATAAAATATCTAGTTACTATGTTTTGCTAAATTTGCAAGTTTGCACTTTCTGTTAATAAGTATTCAAAAGTTTTTGGTTTTGACGACTTTTGTGAAAACATTTTCCAAATTCCTAAAGTATACATTGACAATAACTATTTGTTCAATGTATGACCATTTAGCACTTATTGCAGAAGAGCTGAAACCATAATGACAGATAACAGTAATTAGTAATTATTTTCAGAGAAGTAGTTATACAATAATTATTGATGAATTTTCAAATAATTTATAAATGACGAACAAATGAACTTTCCATTGTGTATGATTTTGTCATAGATAAGCTTTTGAAGGATGTACTTTTAGCTTTTTTGGTTATACTAATAAAAAAATCTTAACTGAAAAGCACTTAGTATTTATTTAACTTTTCAAATATCAGTACTCAATAACTGAACAATTAGTTATATATTATTATTTATCCCTTAGATGTTATTTTAGCTATGATCATTTGGATAAGTTTAATGTCGTTTGTAAGGTCATATGGAGAAAAAATTGGACACAAAATCGCTGAAATCTTGCTACTTTATTCTAGCACATTGTTATGATAAATCAAGGCAAACTTCTCAAATCTATGTAAAATTTTAAAATAATTTATTAAAAGAAGGATGATCAAGAGTGAATGCTACGATGATGTAATATTAAAGCTGAAGTCAATATCATAGTTTAGAGAACAAGTTCTCAAAGTTAGCGTTTTATGGCAAGGTTTTTGCTGAGGGATTGGGTTGCTAACCCTCCACCTGTATCCGAGCTTGTGATCGGCGGTAAACTTAGAAGGGCTCTAGGTGGGTGTATTACCAGAACGTTTCAGATATCAAAATGAAATTGCAGTTCTAACTGTCCAATGACACTGAAAACTATCACCAGCTAAATAAGGTTTTTGAATAGATAAAAATCATATTTATAGTAGTTATAAAATAAGCGAATCAAGACAAGGTTTAGACAGTGTTATATTTAATTTGATCTAGACATATATTACTTACTTACTTACGCCTGTTACTCCTAATGGAGCATAGGCCTCCGACCAGCATTCTCCAACCCACTCTCTCCTGGGCCTTCTTTTCTAATTTCACCCAATTCTTGTTCATTTTTGTCATGTCTATCTCCATTTACCGGCGTAATGCGTTCTTGGGTCTTCCTCTTTTCCTTTGACCTTGAGGATTCCATGTGAAGGCTTGCCTTGTGGTGCAGTTGGGTGCTTTCCTCAATGGGTGTTCTATCCACTTCCAGCGCTTCTTCCTGATTTCTTTCTCCGCCGGGATCTGGTTTGTTCTCTCCCACAGTACGTTGTTGCTAATAGTGTCCGGCCAACGGATCTGAAGTATTTTGCGTAGACAACTGTTAATAAACACCTGTATTTTCTGGATGATGGCTTTCGTAGTTCTCCAGGTTTCTGCCCCATATAGTAGAACTGTCTTGATATTTGTATTGAAAATCCTGACCTTGGTGTTGGTTGACAGTTGCTTTGAATTCCAGATGTTCCTCAGTTGTAAATATGCTGCTCTTGCTTTGCCGATCCGCGCCTTCACATCTGCATCAGATCCACCATGTTCATCAATGATGCTGCCCAAATATGTAAAGGTTTTTACGTCTTCCAAATCTTCCGCGTCAATTGTGATCGGATCGGTTCATGATGTGTTGTGTTGGAGAATCTTGCTTT